TGCAAATGGCCAGAGGGTTTAAAAAAATAAAGGGAAAAAGGTGATGGGAATGGGCAGAAGCACACAAACAGCACTATCACATATACCCTATTTGCTTTTCATCAGGTAAAAAACGGGGTGGGGGGATGGTGCGGGTGACAGCCTGTCGCATTTTAACGTTTAGAGTTCCAGTGACAGGACCAGCACAGAAGCAAAATGAAGTTTTCTTCTTGTGCCATTTCAGCTGAGAGATGAGGTTCCTAGTAAGGGCTTTTGGAAGGACTCAAAGAGTGCTGGCATCAGTCCAAGGGAGATGGATTATGGAGGTTGGTGAAACAGTGGAAGAATGAATAAATGAATAATTTTGTACCATGTGTTATAGCCCGCTCTTCCCACACCATGACTGCTGGCAGTGATGTCACTCATTGGGCCTGATCACTCGCTTTGGGTCACTCCTCCATCGTTAAGTGGTGCACTTATTTAATTTGAAGAAAGTGCAATCAATAAAAAGAGATCCTTTTATCTTCCTCATCAATCTCTTGTTAATGAGCATGCACTTTTTTCTTATTAGATTCTTGGTTACAATGCTTTTAATTTCTCAATGTATGATAGAAGAGGGGGTGCAATCAAACGCACAATGGAGCAGTTGATGCCACATCCTGCTGCTTGCTCCTTTCTGAAGAACTGGCGTGTTCTTAAAGTGGTCTCGGTGGGTGTAGGGATTACTTGTCCTGCACTGATGTATGGTCCTCTGAGCATCCTCTCTTAAGCTATGATCCAGACATGTGAGCCTATGAAGATACATTTTAATTTCCTAATGTCCCAGTAGTTGCAAGAAAGTAGAAAGTTCTTTGGGAATCTTAGATATTTAAAATGCAATGGCGTCCATGAGAATGATTCACCAAGCCTACTTTCCAAAACTTTCAGCAGGTTTGGGTCTGATTATGATGTGACTGAAGACTCAGATGAGTTAAATGGTCCTTGCTGCTCTAGTTTTCAGGATGATGTAGTCGTGGTCACACATCTATTCACATCTTTATGGTTGACCAGAGATAATGATCCTCTGCAGTTTGATAATATGAAGTCAGCCTCCTTTTAGCAGCAGTAAAACTGGCAAACTTCTCATCACAGGCTGGAGGTTAATGCTGTCTTTGGCTTTGTGTATTTCCTTGAGTCTTTCGGGAGTGAAACTTTGCAAAAAACCATTTGATTCTTCACAAAAACACTCCACAAAATAAAATTACAGTTTTCTAAGGCTCTGATTTTCAACCTGTCATTTACATATGGCAGGAGTCCAAATCTCAGTCATAGATTAGCTTCATTAGTGGAGACTCAAACTGCTTTTTCCTCTCAGCCAAAGAGGCCCAAGCCACATGGTAATCAGAAATAAATCTTTGCACAAGGAGCTAACCTAATTATGAACAGGCAAGTTATTTCCTCCCTTATCCTTCTGTATTTACCACCAATGTGCTACCCTAGTAAAACTTTGTTACCTCCAAGGTCATGCTTCCTCCTGTTTTCTTCCAGGGTCTCCCTTTCAATGAACGAATTGCTGACTTTTCCCAGACACTCATCTCCTCCAGCCAGGGCCAGAATCCGTGTTTAAGCCCAGCATGCCACTATAGAAACATAAAAAGCTCAAAACTGGAGCTGTGGGATAAAGTGTTTCTACATTGCTTTGGGGGTAAGAGGAGGAGAAAGGACCCCCCAAAGTCAGTAAACTGTATCTTCAGACCCAAAGTGAGAGACCATCATCAGCCAGCCTTTACTGCAGCCTCGAGAGCTGTCACAGAAGGTGGTGTTCTCCCTTACCCACCCCGACGCGGTAAAAAGAGCACGGGGTTGCATTTTGGCCCAAAGGTCCGGAGAGGAGCCGACCCGTGCGGTATCGGATTGCAGCACGGCAGGTAGGCTGTGTCCTGGCCCTGGCTTTGGCCACCTGTGGCTCGGGGCCTGGGATGCTGCCTGGCGGATGATTCAGCACTGCCTTTCTCCCTTCTCGGCCGGGGAACAGCGGGAGCCGCCGGGCACCTCCGAAGGCGGGGACAGGGTGCCGGGCGCCGCCCCGCTCTCCTCGCCGCAAGCCCCCGCAGCCCCCGGGGGGCTGAATCAGCTCTGCAGGCTTCCCTGGGAAGGGAGACGAGGGGAGGAGGAGGAGGTCTGGTCAGAGCTAGCTGCGTGATGCTGAGGCAGGCAGCCTGCGCGCCAGGTCTGGAGGTGCGGCGGGGGAAGGGACCCGCAGCGGAGGAGGGCACTGCAGCCTGGCCCCGAGCCAGGGACCACGGACACGCAGCGGCCACGGAGCCGACGGGGGGGTGTGCGGGTGTGCCTGCCTGCCTGCCTGCCTGCCTGCCGGGAGGAGCTGCTGCGGGCAGGCTGGGCCCTGCTGGTGGAGAAGCGCAGGGAGAGATGCTGTCCAGGCTCGATTTAGCCAGGCGGGCTGGGGCAGGAGCCCTTTGCCAGTCCGTTGACAGCCCCTCCGGCAGCAGGGTGAGAAGGGAGGCGATGCACCCACCTGCAGAGGAGCCTCTGGATGTGTCCCCGTGCAGGCAGCACGCCGTCGCTCTGTCCAGCTCCACAGTGTTGTGTGTGTTCGGTTTAACTTTGTGGCAACCCTTGTAAAGAAGGTGCAAGGTCTCCACGTGCGTTTCTGTTCATCGCAGCACCAGCAAGACATGAGCAAAGCAGAAACATAGTTTAAAGGAGAGCAGTTAAATGTGAATAGGATGGAGGGCAGCAAAGATTACTGAAGGATGAACACAGGTAGTTTGCCAGGAGGACCAGTGCAGGAAAGATGTGGACAGGGCAGTGGATTAAAGACAAGCTCAAAGAAGTGTCAGCAGGGAAAATTGCCTTACTGGAAATAGGAAGGTTGAAAAATTAGACATGGATAAAGAAGGAAAGACATTTTAAAACATTTCTGCCAAGCCCTCAGATACTGTAGTATCTCATCTGTGCAATGAAGAGAATATTCCCAGATGGTTCTCAACTTGCACTCCTCTTTGAAGAGTGATGCTGTAGCTTCACACCTGAGGAGCAGCTTGTGTGTGCGAAAGCATGTCTGGTTTTCCCATATTTATCAGTTAATCTTATAAAAGGTATATCCTTTCTCTAGAAACCTTGATTACTTGTACCCACGGACCACTGCAGCTGTCACAGCAATGCTGCTGTGATGATACACTTTCTACAGTGGCTGTGTTGCTACTGCTGTTTGAAATAGGTTTTGAGATACTCAGAGAGGCTGCACTCACGTAAGGTATTACCAGCTAAGGAGAACATGTGCTTTATAATAAGAGAAGCCATGTATGTAAATATGCAGTGCAAGCTGTTCATTCTCTCTGAGGTTACTGATCACATCATTAACCTAAGGACCAGACATTTTAGTGGTAATGTAGGCTAGATTGTATGATGATTTATCTTTTTACATTCTTCCAGAGAGTGTTATTACTGGCTGTGCTTTAAGGTAATGCTCCAGGCACTTGATTGTAGTAGCATCATGATTACTTCAGTTGGCTACTACAGCCTCACAGGAAGCTCTGTGATCAGACATCCATCAATTAGTCCTTGACGTGGCAGTCTGTGAAAACGCAGTGGGATTCACTGAGATTTTGATAAACCTTTTTCATGTGCACTATGTTACTAATGTTCCCATGGAAGGGGGGCTGGGCTGGTAGGGGAGTTGGAGGCAGAGAGAGAACATGGGTAGAGCCAGATGCCTCTTTTAACACTACCAAAAATCTGCAACTACAAAGGAATTTACCTTTCAGATGCCTAAGATACCAGCAAAAATGAGTTCAGAGCAATTTGTAACACTTGATTCTTTGTTTTCTTATGTATCCTGCTGCCATTTATACCAAGGAGAAAGAGGGGTTCACATCAGCAAATCTTCAGTGCAAGTGTTTTCATTAAGTCCAAGGAACTGGAAATAGTGTTATAATCCCCTTGCCTCTCATACATATGTCTGTATTGTTGCACAGGTGTACTTTCTGTGGGAGACAAAAGAGGGAATAGATCGGATTCTAATCTTACTTTCATTATGTTAACTGGACCGTTAATTTACCAGTGTGCTGCACTGGTGGAAATGGTAGTGCTAGGTATTGGTAGAGGTGACAAATGACAGCCTAATTTAAGAACAAAGTGTAAACCTTTAATAAATAATAATGAATAATAAAATTCTTTTATTTTTCCTTTCTGTTTTTTTTTTTTTCTTTTAGTCTAAGGTGGAGTGAGGATATGTGCTAGCAACATGCGAGCTCTTGAAAAGTACATTCAGGAGCGGATTTTAGTGTGAAGTCTTTGTCTTTGGGTTTTAGAGGAGGAGTTTGGAAAAGGAGGCTGGAAAAATGGAATTTTTTAAAAAATATATGCAAAATTTTTGTGATATCTTAAATGCAAATTTGTTAGAGACAGGAACGGTTTGGGGGGTTTTATTCCCTCCGCTTTACCTAAGATGCATCCCAGTTCTATTCCTAGGGAACAAAACTTATTCAGGAGCTTGTAAAGAAAAGCTGTCTCTAGGTGTCAGGCAGGGAGAAATTGCTTATGGAAAGAGGTCTTCCCCCTGGGAGAGATCGAATATCAGGCTGAGCGAGCCCAGTCCAACCCAAAGAGCTCCCACCGACACCCGGTCCTTGCCGGAGGACTTTGCCATCGATGGCCGCCGCCTCCGGCCACGCTTTGCCAGGAGAGAGGGAGCGGGTGGGTGCGCAACTCCTGCCCGCTCCCTCTCTTTGATTTGATGGCCTTTATTCCTCCTAATTGGATAAAATAGGAAGTCACTGACAATCCTGCGTTGCTGGGTGTACTGATTTCCCTCAGAGCAGCCCTGCAGAGGGCGGGGGGTGGGGTAGGGGAGGAAGGAGCGAGTCTGTACAGCAGGGAAACAGGCTGCGAGGGGGCTGGGGGAGCGGGGCGGGGGGGGGGGGGGTGGGGGAAAGTGAATGAGCGCTTAAGAAGGACAAAGAGGGAGGGGAGAGAAAGGGAGTTACCACCGTCTTGGCATCGCTCTTCCTTTCAAACCTCTGTGTAATGATATTGTTTGCAGTGATGCTCAGACAGCGAGCACCTGCTGCTCTGTAATGATTCAGCCTCTTTCAGCCGCCGCTGTAACACGACAGGATGCTGCTGCTACTGTCACTTCTGCCGCTGCCGCTGTTGTTACAGATTTTGCTTTTGCTCCTTCTACCGCATGACAATTGTTTTCCTCGTCTAAGCAGATACCAGCCTCAGATGCTCAAGGTGAGAGTCTTGCCTTTCGCTCTGGGCTACTGGTTCACTTAATCCGGTCAGTTTGTTCAGTGTTTGTGGTTTTCTTTATCTCATTACCCTCCTTCCCCCTGTTTTGTTTTGTTGTGCTTGCTTTTGGGGGAATGTTTCTTCCCTCCTTCAGAAGAACTGAAATTGCTTGAGAGGCATTTAAGGAATTATAAAAGTGGCTAGCAAACAGGAGCTCAGTAATTGCAAAGCTATTCTCGCTTCAGAGAAGCAGAGAGAGTGACAGAGGGCTTGGGGGCAGGGGGACCGGGGGGCATCTAATTTTTCCTGTGCGTTACTCCTCTCCCAGTTTGGATGACGTTGCTGAGCTTGGACCTTTTATTGACTCCCACTCTGATTTTTGCAGAGCACTGTGACTATTACTACCATCTCTTTTTGTCTGTGTCTCACAGTAATGGACTGTGATAGAGTTAAGGCCTTTTGGAGGTGAGCTGTTTGAGAGCTGATGTTTAAACATGTCTGAAGTAGCTGCCGACACTTTCCCCAGCCCCTCAGCTCAGCTGAGCCCTGATGCATCCCTCAACGGGCTCCCAGATGAGGAGAACATGCCGGGGACCCAAAGAGAGGACAGGAGGGTCCAGGGGATAGCAGGCCTTGCCGCAACCTGCTGTGCGTGCCTGGAGGCAGAGCGACTGAAGGGCTGCCTCAACTCTGAAAAGATCTGCATCGCCCCTATCCTGGCTTGCCTGCTTAGCCTTTGCCTCTGCATTGCTGGCCTCAAGTGGGTCTTTGTGGACAAGATTTTTGAGTATGACTCTCCTACCCACCTTGACCCTGGGAGGATAGGACAAGACCCAAAGAGCGCTGTGGATCCTACAGCTCTGTCTGCCCGGGTGCCTTCGGAGGTGTATGCCTCACCATTCCTCGTACCTAGCCCCAGGAGCAAGGCTGAAGTGACAGTGCAAAGTGCCAGCTCACTTGTGTCCTCCAAACCGTTCCTCCAGCCTTCCCTGTATAACCGCATCCTAGATGTTGGGTTGTTGTCCTCTGCTGCACCTTCGCTGTCACCACCCGCCCTGGAGCCTACCACAGCGTCTCAGGCACAAGCAACAGAAACCAATCTCCAAACCACTCCAAAACTTTGTAAGTAAAAGCTGTGTGTTACTTTGGTTTTTTTTCCCCCCCCTTTCACCAGAAAGGAAAAAAAAAAAAAAGCCACTTAACTGTTCTGCAACTGTCCACAAGGAGGGCATGGGATTGGCATGCAAAGCTTAAGTGTGCTAAGACAGGTGTAGCATGGGTTACCTTCTGAGGAGAGCATCCACAGCCCTCTGCACTTAGTTCTGAACTGTGCAGGGTAAAGAGGGCTTCATCTGGGATCTTTGTAAAGGCCTAATACCACCCTTTTTTTTGCATCCACTTGTAGGGAAATATGTGATTTACTATTTATCTGATAGCTACTCTGCATGGTCTATTTTTTCTTAGAAATTCGATTTGCGTCCTGTGCTGGATCTTCCATGTACGTTCATTTTCTTTGCCTTGCCTGCAGAGCACTTCTGGTACATCCTTCCTGAAATCTGTTGCTGGCAAATATCCCTATCATCCTCCTGAAACACTCAGACCAGTGAGAAAAAGTGACAGCATATTTGAAGCAGTTAGAAACCAGGAATTATTAATTTAGCATCTAGCTTATGATCTTTCTCTTAAGAGCAAGGCACACATTTCTCTGTGTCTTTTTCCATCTCTAGGAGCTGATTCTTATTGAAACTGTTTCTCACATATTGCTTTTTTGCCTTTTGTGGGGCGTTTCAGGAAAGCATTCTTGCCAATGTAGGAGGAATCAGTTTCTGAATTAGACTTCGCTCATCCTGGAAGCACAAAACATCCAGGGTACCTGTGTTATTTTCTCAGTAACAGTTGTAGAGCATCAAAATGCTGCATTGCTGAAGTGTCATTTCTTTGACATTCATAACTTTAACCCATCAAATCTGGAGCAAATCAAGCCAGCAATTCCTGAGTTGTGTAAAATTTTGCAACTCTAGTAAAAGAGAAGGCAGCGCACCGTTGTGCTGAGAGCACAGGGCTGAGGTTTCCTTTGGAAAGCTGCAGTGATCAGAGTGCACAATTGTATTCCTCACAAATTTCCTTGCAGGACACCATGTCCTTTATTCTCCCTCATGCCTTCCCTGTAATGCTGCAGGTTGGCTACCTTGTAGATGGTACATACTGGACCTCACCCTGGAGCCCTGAAGTCACCAGAATTCCACTGCTAAGTTTAGCCCCACTAGCACTGGACTTAGTATAGATGTGTGGCATTTGGATTAGATCTAACATTTTGGGCCAACCACCTTGCCAGCATAACTACAGTGATTTCAGAGAAGGTCCTTTCAGCTGGGAGTCAATCTTGAACAGCAGTTTCAGAATCACTGAAAGAAAGTCTTAAGTATTCCTGTAAAAACCCTGTTTCCTTTTGCTTAGATAATGGTGATAACCATCCTTTGGGTTAAAAGTAATTTGTCTGATGGAAACAGTTCTAACAGGGAAATACTGCTGTACTGTTAAGTGACAGGGGGCTTTGTCTGTGATATTACTTGGATTAACCACCTTTACAATTATATAGTACTATTCTAAATGTTTTGGTTTGTGCTTTTTTTTAATATTGCTGATGCACAAAATCTTTTTTGTTGTGCAAATATTGTGATATTAAATATATGACAACACTTTTACTTCATAAAGTGACAAGAGACCACTATCCAGTCAAAATTGACTCAAGAATTCCTCTTGAATTTCCACATACAAAGCAAACCTTTACCAATAACATGCTAACATCATCTCTGAAGTAAAGGAAGGAGGAGGTGGGGTGGAAGAGAGCCTTTGGAGCAGTCACTGACAAAAAGCCGTTATCTGCATTCAGATCTGCTCACATCTGGAAAGTAAACGGTTGTCCAGAAGCTAGGTGATTGGGTTGAAGGGGTTTTTAGGTTTGGGGGCTTTTTTGTGTGTAGGTGTGTGGGGGAGAGGGCAGGGGAGTTTGTTTGATTTTGGGGGTTGATTGTTGTTTTTTTTACTGTTGCCTTAGTTTTCTAAAGATAAATGTGTATCAAGGCATCACAGTCTTCCGATAGCTACAGACTGAAAGGAGAGGGAGAACTGGCAGCAGGTCAAGTTTGGGTTGCTCTGAGGCAGAAGGTTGTGTAGACAGAATTTATTCTAACTGTGGCACATAGTTCTGACTATGGGAAGCAGCTGTAATTCACTGCAAAGACAAATAAGAAAACATAACTGGAAAAATACACTGCAGAAGATCTGCCTAGGAATTCCAAGAGGCATAAAAAGAACTTTTTGGACAGCTCTAAAAGCACTGTCTTGGGGTTTTTGAAACAGCTGCATTTCAAACACATCATTGTGTTTTATGTAGAGCAAGATTTGTTGGAGAGGTTGACAGATTGCATCAGTGCTAGCTTTTTTTTTTAATGCCTTTGACAGCTATAAAATTCTCAGTGACATGGCTTGAAAAGTAGCATCTGCAAATTGGATTGTCCCTTCTTTTGCTTCTCAGTGCCCTTCTTTCCTTTTCAGTCAGAGTGCAGTAACTTCTTCCCAGAAGGTCCCTCATGTGCTGATTTTTTTTCCAGTGCAGAAATAAAAAAGAACTGACACATTTCATATTCTGTGGTTGATGTACTGTTTCTGAACCTAGCCCTTCCATGACTTTCCAAATCCTTTTCTCTTCTCCTCTCTTTTCTGTCTTACTCAGCATATTCCCCTTAAAGGTATATCCTTCAAGGTCATAGTCTGCAGAGACCTAATTGATTCTTCTTCCTTGGAGCCTGGAAGAAAAAGCAGAAGAGAGACAACCCTTGTAATTGTGTCTGGTGTACTAGATTCAGACTGGTCTCACTCCTATTATTATACTTTGCCCTTTATCAATACAGAAATATTCCTTCCCATTTGGTTTACATTTTGGATTGTAATATCATCTATCCTTTCCTGAAACAGAAAGGGAAACTGAATGTTTTAAAGCACTCTCATACTTAGGAAGCTTGTCAATCTTAGCACAGTTACACTAGAGAAGATTTTACTATAAGCAGAAAATAATATATACACACTAACCTACAATCTCATTTCCTGTGAGAAGACATGCAGATTGTAATAGTGCTAACTCAGTTTAGGAGATAAATTTCACTTCTTCCTACACTATCACATTTAAATACAATTCCGCCCTTTACCCAGGCTGATAATAGACTCAGCTCTGTAGTTCTGTAATAGCTGCTTTTATACACCTGCAAACCAACCACTTCCCTCTTTAAAGGTCTTCCCACTGCTTTCTCTTTCCATTTAAGCAGATTTCCTCCAAAAACAACCAACAAGGCCTGTGTGGGGCTTGCCTTTCAGTGGTGACAGCTCTGCCAAAGTGGCACAAGTGGTCCTGTGCTTTGGCTCTGTCCTAAAGTAGAGGTGCCCAAGCAACCCTTGGTTTTGGGACTACAACTCTTGTGACTTGGCACAGGGCACACAAGAGGCAGAGCAGGAGACAGATGCCACAGCATGACTTTGCTGGAGTGGGTTCCCCTGTGAGCAGAGCAAAAGGCCCATCAGAGAGCAGTGTCCAGAGGGTGATTGTCCCTGGTGGCACATCCACGCTACCCCTGCATCCTTTTCACTTTTGGCTTCCCTGCACACCTCAGGTGCCACATGCTGATGGGCCAGCTGCACACACCATGCCATGCTGGTGGCCAGCAGATGATCAACAGCATGTCTCCATCTCCCTACCTCTGTGTCCTGTGCTGGTTATAAGATGCAGAGGTGGGTGCATCAGTGCAGCACCAGACCTGTGCGTGTCGCCTGGGAGGCAGGCAGGGCCCCTTCCTGTCTCACTCATGCTGGCCATCACCTGGAAAACACGGCAAAGTGGAGAAAGGGCTCTGCGTTGCTGTCAACCACCCTTGACTGGGACAGCTCCCTTCTCATGTTTCTGATTTCTGCTGCCACTTCAGATGTGCTGGGTCAGCATCAGCAACTGATGCTGCTTTTCCATCCTCAGTGGAAAAAGGTGTTAAAAGGTTGCCTCTGACGTCCAGTAGTGGTTTACCTAGGTAAACACCTAGGAAACAGTCTCAGCTCCCCTCCAAAGTTATCCAGGCAAAATGGCTGAATTTCTTGTATCTTTTTAGAGCTAGAAATGGTAAAAAATTGAATGAAAACTAATGTGTACCTTGCTGTGGTATCATACTGTAAATATTCCTTGCAATTTTTCTCTGTCTCTTTCACTTCCCCTTCTTCTTTCTGAGCTCTGCATTTGATGTCCTTTCCCCTACACACAGTGATTCGGGAAGGTCTGTATTGTAGCTTGATGGCAGGCTAGAGGGAGCCTCTCCCTCCAGGTATAAGTGCTGCAGCCCCATAACTGAAGGCTTCAGTTATGGGCAAGGAGGATTTGTTCATAGCAGCTTCACACAGTGTTTGTTCTTTTTCTTGAAACAGTCTTATTCTGATCCATGCTCTGTAGTTCAAATCCCCATCACAACACCATAGGATTGAGTCCATGCCTGGCAGGATTAACCCTGTTTCTCCAATGAGTCTATAGGGAGACTACCCTTGCAATTCAGATTCTAAGTTAAAACATCTACCGTGCAGTATGAGGACTCATTTCAAAAGCCATGACTTTTCTTTGATGTGTCCTGCGGATTAACAACATCTTGTCAAAGGAAAGTTACAATTAATCACAGTTAAGATACCAGACAAGTTCTGAGCCTAACTCAGGAGTGTAGTAAAGAGATGCTGATCTCAGTAGGCCCAGGAGACACACGTGGAGCTCCATTAACAAGCGGTTGTAAAGCAAGTGCCACTGGACTGAGCCAGCCAGTCTGAATTTCTGTGCTGTTCCAAAGGTCGTGGTGGCTCAAAGATGTATATACTTGTGACTAGAACACTCATGGGGACTGATGAGGTGAGATGCAGAAGACGCAGCAAATTTTAGGGAGTTCAGGTCCATTAATTCTTCTAAAGTGACACTTCCTCTCTCCAGTCCAGTTGGTTCACGCTGTCTTCAAAATGTCCTCAGCAATCACAATTTGTTCAGACAAATTTTTTGTTTTATTACTTTTTGTGTCTCCACCATCCTCCTTTTTAGCATTTATTGATTGCATGGAAACAGTTCCCCTGTTTAACTTGCAGCACAGTGTACTGATCAGTCCTGTGTTTCTTTCTCTTGGACAAGGACCCCAAATTTATGGCTTTCAAATTTATGTCATGGGTGTGGTTT